CCCGTGAATCACGGGACGCGAGACGAAAGGCGTCGGGCGCGTTCGAGCGATCGCGCGTAAAAACCGCCGGCGCACGGAACGGGCGTCGAATTACAGAAAGAAAGGACGGAGGCGGTATCGGCGGCGACGAAGCGCGAAACGCGAATCGAAGAGCGGAACAGCGACGTCGACGACGAGGAGGACGGCGCCGACAAGGTCTCCAGGGATGGCGAGTGGTTTGTCCGTAGATGAGCATCGAGTGGCTCGATATCCCATTTTGCTTGCCGCTGTTCGATGTAGGTCAGCTGACTTGGCTGGTTGACGCGAAACAATGCGGATATCCGTGAGCAAGCTAACCGCGATATCCTCCGCTCGCGAACCGCGGCGGGGAGCGACGCGGGAACAGAAGCTACTACTCGAACAGAAGGAGCTCGAGCGACGATAAAACGCTTAAACCTTCTCGTTTCCTTGCCAGCCCTCGTTGCTCTCTTTTCGCCGCGTCTTTGTCTTCGAGACGATCCTCCTGTCCGTCGGCCGTACCTTCGTTTCGCGCGCTCCGCCTGTTAAATTTGCTCGCTCGGCAAAAAAACACTGAAAAGGAACTTAGGATCGCGCACTTTGCAGCCTCGGCGTTTTCTCGATCGCCACTTTCGCGTATTCTATCGTGGCCCCGCAACGCGGATCGCCGTATCGGAGGAACGTCGTCGAGACGATCGACTCGCGAATGCTCTGGTCGAGGCACGTTGCCGACGAGCGTTCGCCGAGCGCGTTACGTATCGTGTGACTGTTAATTCGTTCGACGCGCAAATGCAAACGACTGAACGCGAGACGACTCGATCACGCGTCGACTTCAAGGTGAACCGGAAAATCGTGGCTCTCGCGTGGTCTCGCGGTTTTCCAGTCGCGGCGCGATCCTCCGACGCGAGGTCACGAGGTCGCCAGGAAATCGGGAGCGTACGCGGAAACGATCCCATCGCGTCGCTGGCCGAGATCGACCGTTAATCGCGAGCGCGATAACGGCCAATCGGAGAAGCAACGGAATCGGTCGCGTACGCGTCAACTTATGCGCAAAAGAAGAGGGAGAGAGACGCAGAGCGAAAGAAAGAGAGAGAAGGAGTTAGAGGGTGGGATGGTGGAATATCGATCGGTCTCGTAGGTCCGGGACGATGGAGCCCGACCTCGAGCAAAAGGGAAGTTTTGCTCGTTCGCGACGTAGCTCGTCGATCTTTCGAAGGGTCGTTCGCCTCGATGGAACTTTTTACTTACGTAGGTCCACCGTCTGAGCGCGTTCTGTCTCGACGATGCCTCGACGAGACGATTCGTCGAGCGATCACGTGTCGACGAACGGGTCGAGGTGGATCTCGAGAAAAGCGGACAAGACGAAGCGGCGTGTCATCGCGACCGACCGCGGAATTCTCTTCCGACGGTGCGGCTCCCTTCTGCTTCTTCTGCTTCTTCTTCCTTGTCGTCGTTCTCTGCTTCCCCTGTCCTCCTCCTCGTGTCCTTCTCCGATCTCGATCACCGTTCGCGCGACTTTACGTCGAAACTGCGGTCCCGCGTTCCTATGGAATCGTGGCAAACCCTACTGCGACCCCACCCACCCCCGCTGCTAGCTCCGCTCTTGGCGTACAGCCTAACACGCCACGTCGCTGCTTTCACCCCACGACCCCTGACGCTTCACGGGGGTGAGATTTCCAGCTGGACGATCGATCTCGCCGGAACCGCCATCCCTCGGAAGGCGCCGAGTCAACGTCGATAAGACGCTCCTCGTCGGATAACGAGTCTCCGTTGTTCGTTTTTCGATCGAGCCAACCCCGCGGCTCACCCACCAGATGGAACGACGCGTTCGATTCGTTTTCCGAGTCTCGGTCGCGTCGCACTCCTCGTACCGACTCGAACTTTCTTCGACGCGAGGCGGCGCGGGAAAAGCGCGCGAGACGCGACCGGTGGGAAAATCGCGTGCTTCGAACGCGATCAAGTATGCATCGTCGAACAAACTTTTCTCTCGACGTTTCGATAATGATAGGTGTTCGAGGTCCACCTGTCGCGTTCCTGTAGATCTCGACTTGTCGTTCCCACGCCGATGCTCCCCGCCCTGTACGGACTCCGAAAGAGACAGACGGGTCGCGCGACGAGTCGAGCACAGATGAAACGCGAAACAGCGAGCTTCGATCGGTCGATCGGTTTCAACTTGTTCCTTTTGAGACTGGCCGGGGTGATCTCGCGCGGGGAACGATCGGTCGAAAGACGTGCGTTGGCGTGCTTGGCGTTCTTCTGCATGTCCGTTTACAGCGTCTCGTACGTGTACGAGTTTCTGAGACGCGACGGCCGTTCGAACGCCAACTTGGAAACCTTCACGCTGATCACGTCGTTCGTGGGAGTGCAGACGAGGTTCGCGATGTTGCTGCTGCACCGTGGCACCTGTCAGACGATGTTGACCGAGTGCGAGCTGCTCTGGTCGAGATTGAACTCGCGGGAGAAAAAAGTCGTTGGAAATTACGCGAGGAGATCGAACCGACTGGCCATTACGTACGTCGTCAATTGCCAACTGACCATTTTCGCGTACGTGGCGGTCGCTCTGGTCACCTCCTGGTTGCCCGACGACTCGAACGTGGCTCGCGACGCGGTAAACGCTAGCAACGTTTCTCTGGATCTCGAAAACGCGCGACATTTGCCGTACGCGTTTTTCCTGGAGGTTCGAGGGAGCCCGTGGTACGAGATCGCGTGCGTTCTTCAGTTCTTTTCGGTGACCAGCGTCGGCTTGACCAGCGTCGGAGTAGACACGACCGCCGCCATGTTCGCGTTGATCGCTTGCGGCCACCTGGACGTGATACGATCGAGGGTCGAAAGCTTGCGCTCCGTTGATTCGAACAGCGTACAGGAGGACCTTCGAAATTCTTTGATCCATCATCAAGTGATACTCGAGTGAGTTCGATAGGGTACTCCATTATTCCTGGTTTTCACTATCGATTTCTGTTCACGCAGATTTTGCGAGCGAATCGAACGTTGCACGAACGTGATACTTCTGACGCAAATGATGCTCAGCACGTACAACGTTTCCCTGGTCGGCTTCAAGTTAGTCGGGGTAAGCGAAGCTCGCGATTTCTCCGTTTCTCGGTTAACGCTTGCAACTTGATCCGCCCCGGCAGGACGATCCTAACAAGTTCAAGTACGTCACGCAACTGCTGATCGCCGTGATTCAATTGCTCTTATGCAACTGGCCCGCGGATGTTCTTCTCGCGAAGGTAAGTCTCTCGAGCGAATCTCGTCCGTGACCTCTTTCGCGCCATTACGTTTATGAACGTGTTTACAGAGCCAAGCTATCGCCGTCGCCGCGTACAACTCGCCTTGGTACCGATGGTCCGCCAGCTCGCGGACGCCGATCGCCGTTCTGCTGGTCAGAGCCCAGAAACCGGCTCGCTTGACCGCCGGGAAATTCGTCGTACTCTCGTTGGACACTTTCGGCTCGGTATCTATCCTCTTCGTTACGATCTGTCCGTGCGATTAACGTTCCTTCTCTTTCAGATGATATCCACCTCGGTGTCGTTCTTCACCGTCGTCAGAAGCATGAATTAGCAAGCGCACTTTGTTCGATTCGTTTGTATCTAAAGTAAAGTACGATGCAAGAAATTTGACGTTGATGTTTGTTCGGTAAATAGCGTCGATACGAATCGGTTAATTCGACTGGAAGGAAACGGAGGACCGCGTACGTGCAGAGAACGCGGAATCGAAGGTTGAAAAGGTTTTCCACGTAGCTGGAACCGAAACGATTCCGCTCGTTTTTCTTCGTTTTGCGAGACAAATTTTTCGCGAGCAAACGCGCGCCTCGAATATTGGCCGAAAGAAGGAAAACCACGTTTTCGTCTCGGCTCGCGAGTTCCTCGCGGAGCTTTTAGTTCGTTCGTTATCGTCGAGAAACTGCGTCCTCGATTGGCTTTCCCATGGCCGATCACGTTCGTCTCGTTCCGATGTTCGTCGAACGTCTGTTCGAGACAGACGACTGACGGGAAAGAAATCAAGATGTAATCGAAGGGATAAATAAATAAGAGGATAAAGAAACGCGTTGATACGAGGCGAAATCGCGCGATACAGGGGAGGCGCGAATAGAGGTCGACCCGACGCCACGTTTCTCGTATTCTTTGGCAATTACGGGTAAAGTGGATTTTTCTGTAATCCCGCGATATCGTGTCACGAGATTTCTCCTCGACGACGTCGACCGAGTCGTTCGCCTTTTCGCGTTGCCGGCGAAACGCCGAGGAAGAACGGTGGTAAAGGGCGAACGAAAGCGATCGAACGGAAATACCGCCACGCCGTGCCGAGTGGGCGACGCTACTCCGAAGGCAATCTTCGCCGACGGCGGTGTACCGCGATCCGTTCCTTCTCGAATTAATTACGCGGGAGATGGGTGTACCGAGATAGAGGAGCGTCTGTCTAAGACAGGCCTTCTATCCCGTTTCAGCCTATTGTTGGATACCTTTGGCCGTTCTCGCCGTGCCACGTCGTCATCGACCGATACGGAATCCTTCGAGACGCGGTTACGCCGATCCAACGGCGATGCTCGAACGCGTCGCTTTAGCAACAAGTTGCAGTTCGCGTCCGTCTTCTCCGGAGTTTCCTAAAATCAACAAGTGAATTCGCTTCCTGGCTGGAATTTCTATATCGCTTTCTACTTTGGCTCCACAGGTGGTAACGGCAGATAGAATTCGCGCGATTCGGCCACGCTTCGATCGACGCGGCGTCCACCGATCGCGTTCCAGCGAATCGCCGGATTCGTCGGGAGTCGGCTCCGACTACTCGTCTTTCGTCTCGCGTCTGTCGATCGATCGCGTTTCCTCGCCACTTACGCGACCAATAGCTGGAAAAAGGCTGGAACGTAGCCGGCGACTCCGTTTCTGGTACGTGATAAAAGCCGGTTTAATAAAGAGCCGGCGGCGGTACGCGCATCGAGAATTCTTCGAAGGGTTCGCGTTCCATCGGTCCTCGAATCGCATTCCCACCGTACAACCCCTAGCTCTTAATCTCGATCTTAATAACATCCCCTGTCCGACCGTCTGACCTTTTTTTCGTTCGCCGAAGAACCGACGCAAAATTATACGCGTCGCGGGCGTTCGCGAAGGACGCGGCTGATCCGAAGCACGGCAACGAACGACGTAGACAGCGGGACGAATAGGGCGTGAAAAGACGAAGAAGAGGAATCGGTGGAGAAGAGTCGAAAGGATCTCGAGACAAGAACGTCGAATAGGATGGGGCGAGGGTGTGGGCGAGGGGGAGGATGCAGGATAGGACAGGGTTAACGCGGAAGCGAACGGAATCGAGGGAAGAGAAGCGTAGCGAGAAAGGGGCGGGAGCGGGCTTTCGAAGTGGGGGCTTTCGGAGGCGCGATGGACCATGCGCTTTCGACTCGGTTAAGGGACCGTGGATCTTCGAGGATCGAGAAGAGAGGCGACGAGCGACGGGCAACGGGCGACGAACGACGGGAGAAGAAGCGACGGAGAGACGCGTACGCGAACGACGCGACGGTGGGCAGAGAGCGCGACAGCGGGGCGAGATGCACCCTCGCCGCCATCCTCGCTCTCAATCGGCCGCGGCGCTTCCACCTGGAAGCACGGCTACCAGTCTCGACCATTCGGCTCGACGTCCCGTTCGCCACCACCGATTCATCGATTCGGACCCGTAAACGTCCGTCGTTTTTTCTTCCCGATCCGCTTCGCGGCCCGACACGAGACCTGTTCTCGTCCCGCTTAGGTAAGGAAGCAATTTACTCTCTTACCGTGTTACTTTTTCTTTCGTTTCTTTTTCGCGCCGTTCACCAATCGCGACGCCCGTTCGCTGTCGGCGTTTCCGCTTCGACCACAGAAATCCGTCGCGAACGAATTTCCGTCTCACGTTTTCGCCCGGTCGCGCAGCTTCCTGATCGAGGTTCGGTCAGCTTCGAGTTCCGAGCGAATTTCACGCTCGAGATCGCACCCTCGTTTCCGCGCGTCGTTCGCAGCTTGCTCGAACGTCGGAGAGAATTTCCGCGATCGAGCACAACGGCGTTTCGGTAGCGATCGCGAAGAAAGGCATCGTCCGATGCGAACCTCGCGAGGTTAATAGAGCGATCGGTAACGAGGTTATAAAGCAATCTGCATAACCCTGCCCGGTACTTTGCCCGAGCTGCAGGCTCGTCCTGTACCGCTACGAGCGGTCTCGTAATTACCGGGTATAATGCGATTACCCGATCGCCAGACACGGTAACCGAGAAGCTTGCTTCTCCTTCGAACCTCTCTCTGCTTTCTCCGCTCCCTTCCTCTCTCTTTCTTACCGAGTCTCCCTTTTTTGCCCTTCCTCTACGTCGTCCCTAGCCTACTTCTCTTCTTCCCTTCGTATCTTTCCGCTTTTACGCGACGCAACTCTTTTCTATAGCTTCGTGAAACGAGACACGTCGAACAGACGGTTCTCTGATTACGTCTTCGCGAGAGCCGATCTCCCCGTAAATTCGTTTTCATCAAGAGACGACGCCGTCTCGTAATTTTATTTCGTCTCCCTGTTTGCGTTCGATCGCCCGTCCGTTCCGTCTTTCTCTCCTCCGATTCGCAGCTAGCAACGCGTCGATTCCCCGAGGAATAACGTTCGGCTACCGATCGCAGCGAACATCGCATAAACCGACTCGGACACGATTTAAGCTCGTTATTCCGGCTTAACGATCATTTGCCTCGCCAACGGCTTAGTCTGTTGCGCCATCCTAAGCAGTATCTTTTTGCACGAGTAAACATTCTCGCGAGCCACTTGCGTCAACGTCGCTCATTATTTTCGTCGACGGAAGGTCGGTACGTCGCTTCGATCTTTTCGAAAAGAACTCGTCTCGACGCGAGGAATCTGTCGCTACGAATCGATCGCTAACGTCTAACCGTTTCCTTTCCACGGTCGGCCAACTTGTTGACGCGCGAAGCAACAGTTTGCCTTTTAATCGCGTCTCTCCTGCGGTGTTCTTTCTTTCCACGTTCCTCTCGCTCGCACGTTCGACTCGAGGATTAGAAGCGAACCGAACCGAAACATCGTAACGAAAGACGTATCAGTAAGGTCGAGCAAGTTTCGAGAGACGCGTAATTGTTGCCGAGCGAAATCTAGTTAGCGATCCACTTTGAGGAAAGTCGGGCGCACTCGCGAGATTGGTCGCGATTATTAGCGTCGATTCGCGAGCGACCCCGTCGCCTTCGAGTCGAGTTCGCGTCAAAGTTGTCCAAAAGGTACGATCGAACTATTCACCGGGCGGAACGCTCGTTCCGGTTGTTCGTCGCTGCTAATTGCTTCTCAAAGCGAAAACTAATTGTAAGTTTACCGACGATCGCGTCTTCGGAATACGATTCGTGATTACAGCAATTTTCGTAGCAGTCGAAATAATTAACCGGAATCGATAAGCTGGCGGAGGAAAAGGTTCCTGGGCAACGGCACGGTCGAAAGATAAATCGGCGCGGTTGACGGTGGACACGATTTTTCTATTAGCACGCCTTTCGGGTTATACTCGTCCGCGGAATAAAATCGCGTACGATGAAACGCGTCGCTACGGTGAAAGGCGAAATAAGGATAGGGGCGCGGTGACGGAACAGAAGAAAAGAGAAGAAAAGAGAAGAGAGGAGAAAAAGGGTGTGAAAGAGTAATTGGGTGGGTGTACGAGAGGGTTAGGTGTCGAGGGGCGATAGACGAGAAGGAGGTGGAGTGTAGAAGCGCGTACGCGCGTCCATCGAATCGGGATAACGAGGTCGGACGAGTAGTTGTTGGATCCGTAGTCACTTCATCAACGCGGAGCCAACTAAACTGTCAATCGCAAAACCACTACGGCGTCAAACCCTTTCGTCGATGGCAGTTAGATCGTACGATAACGCACTCGAAGCATCGGAACGTTCGATTCGAACGCGATCGAATAAACGCTCGGAAAGTGGAGAATACAGAAACGATACGCGAAATCGATAGCCTGCCGAACGGAAAATAAGCGCGAGGGGAGACAAGTGGCGAGAAGAAAAGAATCGGTAAAGACCGGTAGAAGTGATTACCGAACGGATAAGGGAACGAAACGCGTTGGTAGGAACAAAAAGCAAAGTATCGAAGGCCAAGAGCGGCGGCGAAAGAAAAATCTTCTTCGGTCCTTCTGGAATCTGGAGAATAATGCGCGCACCCGAGGGACCCGGCTTTCACGAGAATGCTGATTGCTTCCCTCTCCATCGATTCTTCTTTTCCCTTAAATCCTCTTCTCCGTTTCCCTCGGTCTACCGAGGCCTTCGTTCACGACAATCTCGCCGCAACGTTACGCACACGTTCCGTTACCTTATCAATCTTCGACTCGTCCACGGCAGCCGCCCGCATACTCCGAGATCGAGACTCGCGATTCTATTACGGTCTCTTATTCGTTACGTAAAATCGCGTACCCTCTGTCCGACTCGGACAGAGCACACGAGCAAACGGAACGGACACACGGACGGTGATCGAGAGGTTCGAAGTCGCGTAGGCAGACGTTAGGAAAACTTGGCTTATCTCGGCGAACCAATTCTATCCTGTCCGAGTTTTTCCCTCTGCTCCGTAAAAATTCGGAGCGAGAAAGATAGAGAATGCTTCTTAACGAGGTGACAAGGAGGGGAGAGGTAGAAATCGTTGTCGAGCGCCGCTTTAGACGGCCTTAATGGTTTCCTATTCACGGGAAGCGTGCGAAAATTAGCCGAGCTAAAAGCATCGAGTAATCGAGTTATTACGAATAAAAGAGAACCGGCGAGGCCATGGGCTGCGGAATGGTTGCGCGATAGTCCATGGGAGATACCGCTAAAAGCGACCAATTAACGCCGTTAACTCTATGACTCGATGATCGAACGGCACCGCGCGTTCGATGTCTCGATGATCGCTTCGTACGAGAGCCTCTGTTGCGAACGGATACCGGAAATGACCTTCGAACGACGCTTTCTTCTCTCGCCCGATCGAGCAGAGTAGCGAATTCGTCACGGAACGTCGCTGGCAATTTTAACCGTCGAAAGAAGCTCGTCGAAAAGTACTTTAAACGCCGGAAGCTCGAATCGCGTTATTCTCTCGATCGTTCGAGCGAACGTAAACGTTCGACCAACGCGGTCGAAAAGAGCGCTCGTTCGACGAACCGCAAATTGTCGACACACCTTTCATCGTTCGTCTCCTCGTTGCAGATCGTCGAACGGAAGAAGAAGAAGAGGAAGGGGAAGAGTCGCGAATCCGCGTAGCTCGAGGATGAGTAGCGGAGAATGGAGCGGTTGGTTGCAACGATGTCGGGAATCGCGAAAACTGATTCTCGTGATCGTCGCGATCGCCCTGCTCTTGGACAATATGCTCCTGACCACGGTCGGTAAGTAACGATTCGTTCGATCGGATCGAGTCCATTATTTTCCGCGCGGAACCCGCTGAAAAGAGTCCGAAGAAAGCTGCCGGAACACGAGAGGAACGAGAAACGAAAAGAAAAGTTTGCTTTGCGGAAGAAAGGCGGCCCGATACCGCTCGAGAGCAAGCGTAATCTTCTCCCTCTCGTTGATGAAACGAACTAATTACGCGGCCTCTTTCTCGGAAGATGCTTCGAACGTCCAAATGAAAGTTCGAGTTGCTTCTTTTGTCTACGTCTCGATCGTCTTTTAGAAATAGCGCGTGTAGACAGGAATACTTGAAACGTTTGTTCCTTCGCGGTTTCCTATTCCTCTTTCTGATCCGACGACGAGTTATTCACCTCTTAAACACCGCTTCATAAATTATTTTCCTAACCACCTGAAATAACCACGATCACAGCGTTCGTCACTCGTCGCGATCGACGAATCGAAATGTTTGAAAAGAAAAAAGAGTGCGTAATTACGAGAAAAAGGGGAGCCGGCCTCCCCGATTTTCCGACTCTTAAGCTTTCCTCATTTGATCGCCGTTCCGACCCGCTTTCTTTTATCGCGTCGACGAAATGTTTAATTCACGAAGCGCGCTCTTATATATCCTTCGGCACGGCCAGTAGCTCGCCCTTCGCCTGGCCACGCCAATCTCGGTGCTCGGAAATATACGCGAGGGTACCAGTGACAGAGGGGCAGTGGAGTCAGGGGTCGAATAAACGCGTTCCGGCAATTCAGATAAGTGGTCATACATTTATGTACCGTATACCAAACAGCTTCTCCGACGCGTGCTAACAAATCATGAGATGCGCTTTCGACCTTCTGTTAACCATCTCTTTTCCTTTGCCGTTAACTCGCATTTGCTTTTCACCCCCTAAATCCGTTCGAAAAAATCCCGCTTCACAGACGCCCACCGCGATCGATCGGCGAGGGAATAAAAAGAAAAAAATAATCGACTGCGTTTTGGAGGTAGAGGAAGGGGAAGAGTCGCGAATCCGCGTAGCTCGAGGATGAGTAGCGGAGAATGGAGCGGTTGGTTGCAACGATGTCGGGAATCGCGAAAACTGATTCTCGTGATCGTCGCGATCGCCCTGCTCTTGGACAATATGCTCCTGACCACGGTCGGTAAGTAACGATTCGTTCGATCGGATCGAGTCCATTATTTTCCGCGCGGAACCCGCTGAAAAGAGTCCGAAGAAAGCTGCCGGAACACGAGAGGAACGAGAAACGAAAAGAAAAGTTTGCTTTGCGGAAGAAAGGCGGCCCGATACCGCTCGAGAGCAAGCGTAATCTTCTCCCTCTCGTTGATGAAACGAACTAATTACGCGGCCTCTTTCTCGGAAGATGCTTCGAACGTCCAAATGAAAGTTCGAGTTGCTTCTTTTGTCTACGTCTCGATCGTCTTTTAGAAATAGCGCGTGTAGACAGGAATACTTGAAACGTTTGTTCCTTCGCGGTTTCCTATTCCTCTTTCTGATCCGACGACGAGTTATTCACCTCTTAAACACCGCTTCATAAATTATTTTCCTAACCACCTGAAATAACCACGATCACAGCGTTCGTCACTCGTCGCGATCGACGAATCGAAATGTTTGAAAAGAAAAAAGAGTGCGTAATTACGAGAAAAAGGGGAGCCGGCCTCCCCGATTTTCCGACTCTTAAGCTTTCCTCATTTGATCGCCGTTCCGACCCGCTTTCTTTTATCGCGTCGACGAAATGTTTAATTCACGAAGCGCGCTCTTATATATCCTTCGGCACGGCCAGTAGCTCGCCCTTCGCCTGGCCACGCCAATCTCGGTGCTCGGAAATATACGCGAGGGTACCAGTGACAGAGGGGCAGTGGAGTCAGGGGTCGAATAAACGCGTTCCGGCAATTCAGATAAGTGGTCATACATTTATGTACCGTATACCAAACAGCTTCTCCGACGCGTGCTAACAAATCATGAGATGCGCTTTCGACCTTCTGTTAACCATCTCTTTTCCTTTGCCGTTAACTCGCATTTGCTTTTCACCCCCTAAATCCGTTCGAAAAAATCCCGCTTCACAGACGCCCACCGCGATCGATCGGCGAGGGAATAAAAAGAAAAAAATAATCGACTGCGTTTTGGAGGTGCTGGGATTTGAACCCAGGACTTTCAGCATGCGAAGCAGACACTCTACCACTGAGTTACACCCCCGAGTCGATACGAAGTCTCGCGAAACTCGTAGTCGTAAGCCGGCGCGACGTTTCGCCATCGACAGATTTCGAATGCCATCGATGTCATCGATACCGAGTCGCCGCGTCATCAGTGCCATATGCGCGACGAGTGACGAACGAGCACAGTTACAATCGCGAACGTATTCCTCTGACAATATGTCGCGAGTCAATCGGTCGCGTTCGCAGTGCCCATCATACCGGAATTCCTCTACGACATCAAGCATCCTAACGCCACGTTGAGCCAACATCTGGAAGGAGATGGACGAACGACGGTGGGAATCGCTCAGACTACAGGCACCACGATCACGACCGTGTCCTCTGCATCCGGTCGAATCAACATGACAAAATGCGAGGACATTAACGGCAGATTGAACGAGTCCCAAGTGGAGTTCCTTCACGCGACCACTTTTCCTAGCATCGATGCAACGACGATCGGTAAGAAACGCGTCCTACGCATGGAGTTCACTACTCACGCTCGTTTGCAATAGGAAACAATGGAGGAACGGGCTTGTCGGAGAAGGAAGAAAAGGAGCAGAGACACCGCGAATTGCTGGAAGAGACGGTGGCCGTCGGCATAATGTTCGCGTCGAAAGCTTTCGTTCAGCTGTTGGCCAACCCGATCGTCGGTCCGCTCACTCACAAGTAAGAACTAGTGATTCTTGCTCGAAGCTTGAACATTCTTTTTCGTCGTAAGAAACTACTGTTCCGTTTCGTTTTAGAATCGGGTATAGCATACCAATGTTCACCGGATTCGTCATCATGTTTCTTTCCACGCTGATATTCGCGTTCGGACGAAGCTACGGTATCCTTTTCTTAGCGAGGGCGTTGCAAGGAATCGGATCCTCGTGCTCGAGCGTGTCAGGTAAATCGATTAGTCTCAGAAGCAAAGGAAATTGGACGAATCAGTGGATTTGCAGGTATGGGTATGTTGGCCGAGAGGTTCCAAGACGACAAGGAGCGCGGAAACGCGATGGGCATCGCGCTGGGAGGCTTAGCCCTCGGGGTTCTAATCGGCCCACCGTTCGGTGGTGTCATGTACGAATTCGTCGGGAAATCTGCTCCGTTCTTGGTTCTTTCCGCTTTGGCTCTTGGCGATGGAAGTGAGTGCAAATTTCGAACGAGCAATGTACAAATTTCTTTCAATGTCAATTTCCCTTTCAGTTTTGCAGCTTCTGGTGCTTCAGCCGTCCGTCGTGTACACAGAAACGGAACCTCCGTCTTTGAAGAGTCTGATCACCGATCCCTACATCGTGCTAGCTGCCGGTATCTACCTTTTTTGAATGTTAAACCTGGGATCTCGTTAAACGAAAGTCTCTTCCAGGCGCCATCACGTTCGCCAACATGGGTATCGCTATGCTGGAGCCTAGTCTTCCGATTTGGATGATGGACACGATGGGTGCGAGCAGATGGAAGCAAGGAGCCACGTTCTTACCGGCGAGCATCAGTTACTTGATCGGTACTAATCTCTTCGGGCCGCTGGGACACAGGATGGGCAGGTTGGTGGACACTCGATTGTTTTAAAGCGGTTTTACAGCGATAATGATCGTAAAAAGTAAGGAGATTCTGGCGCTGGACGAGCAACGAGCCTGAGGTACGTCGCCTGAATAGCTCAGTCGGTAGAGCATCAGACTTTTAATCTGAGGGTCCAGGGTTCGAGTCCCTGTTCGGGCGAGTTTTTTTGCTCCCCCTTTATATCTACTTTTATACCCCTATGCGACAATAGCTCTACTCCGTGCCCTTTCGAGATTCTATCGATTTTTGATACGTTGTAGGTGGTTAGCTTCTCTGATCGGACTGGTCGTCATTGGCATTTGCTTGATGTGCGTAAGTATCCGCTGTTATGTTCAACAAAAGCTCCTCACGTATGCAATCATTTATGTTATACTTCTAAACTTCTCGTACTCGCAGATCCCGTTAGCTAGAAGCATCGATCATCTGATTGTACCGAACGCAGGCTTGGGATTCGCGATCGGCATGGTGGACAGTTCAATGATGCCTGAACTGGGATATTTGATGGACATTAGACACAGCGCCGTGTATGGAAGCGTTTACGCTATCGGAGACGTTGCGTTCTGTTTAGGTTTCGCCGTGGGTACGTGCTTCAAATATTACACAGTTTAACCCCTTGTCATACTTTGACAAGTCTCACTCGTGACAGCTCCAATGTGGCATAACCTTGTCCAAAATTTTTAATACTCTTTAACTTGAAACTTAGGTCCAGCTACAATTTGTATAGTCAAGAATCGCTGAATAGAAAATGCTCCAAACATTTTAATTTTCTTTGTTTGCTTTAACATTATAACCGTGAATATAATGTTAAATAATGTCCAAAATTTTTAATACTCTTCAACTTGAAATTTAGGTCCAGCTACAATTTGTATAGTCAAGGATCGCTGAACAAAAAATGCTCCAAACATTTTAATTTTCTTTGTTTTAACATTATAACCATGAATAGTTTTGACTGACGCATCTGGCAAATAAATTGTAAGGCAAGGGGTTAAAAAAAAAATTATAAGTAGAAAAGAAAAAAATATTTGCATCGGCCGGGAATCGAACCCGGGCCGCCCGCGTGGCAGGCGAGCATTCTACCACTGAACCACCGATGCTTCGGTGAATGCAGTGTCCTTATTTTCGCGTGACACCTTTCATACTTTAGCAATATTATCGTAACATTGATCGATAGAATATCAAATTGTTATCTAGGACCCGCACTCAGCGGCACGTTGGTCAACAGTATCGGTTTCGAGTGGATGTTATTCGGCATCGCAATTTTGAACTTCCTCTACGCTCCGCTGTTATACTTTTTGAGAGCACCGCCGACCAAGGAGGAGAAGAAGGTAATTTTCACACCGAATCGATTAAAGCCACGACATTATCTTTGGTTACGTTTCAGTCGTTGATCATCGGCGAGAAATCGTCTGTGCGCTACGTAACGTACCAGAACGAAGAGGAGGAGCAATAATGGCACTGTTTCTTAACCCGATCGATCTTTTCTTTTCCTCCGTTATCGAAAGTATCGAGACGCAGCAGCAACCAGTCGAATATGATACGCGAAACGTTATTATTTCCTTTCTAATCTAACGTTGATTGTACATAATCGTAGAGTAAATCGTAAGAATAAGTGTGTGCGTTCGAGAAAATCGTACGCGTGGACAGCGCGTCACCAAACGAATATATTTACGTCGAATGATCGAGGCACCGACGAATATAAATACATCGATGCGCGGAATTTACGCGTACGATACCAGTCGCTTGCTCGTGGATCGCGAAAATTTCTCGGCTGCAGACGTTGGCAATTTAAAAATAATTCGTTACACGGAGAACCGCCTATTTTGGATTCCCTGAATGGCTGCAGGGAAACCGTGCGAACACAAAACGGCGATTAGGCGCGATGAAGAGTTCTCCGAATCGTTGAAAACTTAATCGGCACAGGATGTTCCATTTGTACGTACTCGAGAGTCTCGAGAGCCGAAGATTTTCGACTTCAACGAGCAACGAGAAAAACGACGATTAATACCCGATCAAAGACGTGACTCCGAGTGTTTCTTTCGAGCTAATTGTTCGATAACTCGCGAACTAAAACGACCGTGAAGAAGCGTCGAACCGTTCGACGAATTTGCAAATTACACGATAAACTTTATGCGAATCTGCGGCGGAAACGAGCACGTTTTCTTCTTTATTTTTCCCTTCGACCGTCTATCGTTCTACGTTCGCGTTCTGTCTCTCGATTAGGTACTCGCATATAATATATCGTGCATATACACACGTAGATCGTAAGAGCATCGCGTTTGTTGTAGTTCGTAATCGTGTTAGTAAGCGCGTTAGTAGAATAGAGTGTATCGTAGAAACGTTTACGAATATTATGATGTTAAAGGTTTATCGATGATCCCGTGTTTGTTGTTGCGGTCGGGGATCACGGCCGTTTAAAGTTCGTACGTTTAGGTCCTGAGCTACGGAATCTCTTGAAAAATGGATACGACCTTGTTAATTCATTGACGGACTTCGTACGAATCTACATAATTAATGTATTCGAGCGATAAGAACGCGTTGCTGTGGAACGATACGGTACGAGGATCTGTTGGAAATCGTAGAACGTGTTTCTACCGCGAATTCGACGATTCCTCGAGGCTGCGTTGCTAGACGCACCTACTCCCGGTAAGAAACGCGAGTCAATTCGATTTGCGAATTCATCGCGAACGTTCGACGCTACCGCGAATATACGATCGAGGAAAATGAGAGGAACATATTTAAAGTACTCGAATTACGCGCGCGTATAACTTAGGAACAGTGAGGGTCGGATCGAGAAACGGGTGGTCGGCGTTGTTGCATTTACGTAAACGATACACGTGTCAACGTATCCGTACGATGTCTTAACGGATCGTTGAAATTTCTGTAAATATAGAGAAACTCTGTGTATGTATCTAGAAAGCAATTATAGCGAAACGTAGTTGCATCTATGAAGTTTATTTGATCGATTTATGACCGACAACGTTCCTCTTCTTTCAACGCGATACGATTACTTTTCTTTTTAACGAGTTTCTACTTACCGTTTCCGGATCGAAAGGAAAGCGAGACCGCACGGTCGAACGTTGAATCTTTTCTAAATACGTGTATCGCGTCTAGTTGCATGTTATTCGTCTCTTTTCCCTTTCAAGCGGTACGCTTGGACGAGTTTCATATAATCGAGCATAATTTATCGTGACCGATTCTTTCGACTCGCGCGTAAATATCCACGCTTTTCGTCGTCGTATTTTATCTAGTCACCGACGAACGCGACTGTGCGAACGATGCGTTCCAAGGTGACATCCCGCTTTTCGATATATTCATTGTGACGCGTCAAAACGAATCGATGAAAAAGCTCAGCGATTAACTCGTCGATGACTGCTATCGTGAACAGACAATAAGCGATACGACGAGGCACGAAAATATCTTGGCACGCGAGACGGCGTGGCCGAGACGATGAAGAATCGTGCGTCCTCGATCGATCGCTTCGCGCTTTCAACGTCGACGCAAGAAGACTTCGATTTAGGTATACGCTCGAAAAATCGGCAGAAAATAAAGGTTTCTTCCTAGTTCCTACCGTGCGTACACGTACGCGTCATTCTATCTTTAGCGAACGATGTGCAACCAACGCGCGCTGCTCTCTGATACGATAATAATCCTCTGTACCCTGTGACCGTAGCGAAGCGTGTATATTTAATCAGCTGGTGTATGGGTCCGACTTAATGGCCGTAAAAAACGTAGTTTGTCGAAAAAACGATGAGAATCGGCGAGAAAAAAGAAACATATTTAACCGGTGCGACAGCATCGTAAATAAACGCGTCGAATTATGCACCCGTCTTTCTCTGTCTTTACGCGTGTATGTGTGTTGTCGCGTAAATCGCGTTATCGATGCTCATTCATGGAGAAATATTGTTCCGTAGACGAGATACGAATATCGACGTCGATGTCTACGATCCCCGTTCGCGTTACATGCTCCGACCGACCGATTTCAATTTGATCGTTACTCGACTTTGTGCTTGTCATTACTTAGCATGCTGTGTGTACACGATTCAATTGTCGTATGCTTAATAAACTTCTACGTGTTTAACGTGAACTTCACTGCTATTATTTGCGAATTTTCCGACTTTTATTCCGTTCCTCGTGTCTATCGGTTATCGGATCGGATGATTCTTACTTCGTTATGTATCACATTACAATTGTATTGTACAATATTTATTTTATTTATTCGCTAAATATTCAGGGTAGAAAAATATTTTTATAGGGCACGTATCGATGAACGATTTCATGAAAATCTTCCGTGAACGAACGTTACAATATATTGCGTTTTACGAGCGGAACAGCACCGGTACAATTGCATCGATTAGCACTGCCGGTACGAATGATCATGAATCACGCATCGTCGTTAATGGTTACCGATACGAACAATTCTAATGATAATTAACATTTAATAACGATATATACAAAAATTTCTTACTTAACTCTATCGCTGTTATGCATCCTATTTGCAGTTACGTGACTTACGTGATAAATATATGTATGTATGTATGTATGTATGTATATATATGTATATATATACATACACGAACTTATATATTTAAATCTCAAACAATTACAGCTGAATTAACATGCTTCGGTTCTTACGTAATTACGTTTGCGTATCCTCTTATCGTTAGACGTCGAAACATCCGAGCAACGGTTTCCTCGTTTTCGGACGGTAGAACGTGCCAGCATACAATTTTAACGCGTGAACGACACGACGATCAAAAATCAGTCTGACAAGCAAAATGAACGTTTACGATAATCGTGAGAATTTACAAAATATGATATTCGACGTAAGCGTGCGTTCGATCCGATTCGAGCATTGACGTCTTCGAAGAGATTGAAAAATATCGTGTTCTTATGCGTTCGTATCGTAACATCCTAGAAATATATGAGCCTAGCGTCTTCTGGATTTTGTTCTACCGGGCAGTATGGACATTTCAATCTGAAAACAAATCGGTATTTCCTTTGATTTATTGTTTTCTCTAATAAACGATTTCGTCTGCCTTATTCCAGTACTCTCGTTTCCATATCAAAACGTACTTATTTGCGTTGGTAAGTTTATTTAATGCGTCCCTCGAGATAACGTGACCGCAAACCAGCTTCATCGGTGGATTATTCTCGGTACTTTGTTGCCTTAAAATCGGGCACGCGAAGACGGAATGATAACGACCCTGCTTGCCCAGATCTATTTCAATCTGTGTAAAGAAACAACGTTTGAATATCTACAATCGCTTTTCGATCTACGCGAATACTTACCGGCAATTCGTCTTTTCCATTCCAAACCGTATTCACCTGTCTCTGTTGCATTACTTGCTTGATATTCAAAAGTGTTGGCAGTGCGGTACAGCCGGCGTTGATGCTGTAACAAAATGTTACACGCTTTTTCTTTCCGTTCGCATGTAGCTTTATTGAACGAAACGCGAATAACATACCATACTGAAAGAGGACTGTCCACGCTTAAACCGAACAACGTGCATGCCTCTCTCGTGAACACGTCGTGAATATCGAGCCATAAAGTGGGATCCAATAAATGACTGTAAGGAGAGGATTGTATTCCATTTGGCAAATAGAGTAGCGTGCCCATTAACGCCTGCACTTCTTTACCGTGACGTCCGACATATTGCGTAAGATTTTGTCGCGCGTATGTTATTGCTTCTGTTTGCTTGCTGGGACCTTGCTGAATCAGTCTTATAAAATGTAACCTGTGCAATTTAAATTCCAGCGAAGAATTCTATGAACAGAATTTGATGTCAAACAAGGGAACTGATCTTAGCGACACAGCCAAGCAAATGGTAACAATGTTGCACGTACTTGTGCCAAAAGTGCCTCTCTGTGTTTTTTAGCCCATTCCAGTGCAGGGTCGAGGTTCCTTTGTTTTAAACAGTCAAGTATGTAATTCAATTCTGTGAAAGGTTCTTTCGTGCCTTCGTCCGTTTTAATCCCAGCTTCCTGATGCAAATGCCCAATTTTACGACTTTTTACTCTGATCGTAATGTCTTATAAATATGAGATCATTGACGCGAGGCAATGCAACTTTTTTATACATTCTAGCAAACTTACGGCTGCTAATTCGGCTGCAATGTCCAACATTCCGTGACGATAGAAATGTTGACAAATTACTTGATTTAAGAGGTGAGTTTTTTCTGGACCTGAGAAGACATCTTCCCTACTGGTACTTGCAAAATCAGCCGTGAAATTTCTGTCGATCGCTTTGCCCACTTTTGACACTGAACCGTGTAATTCTCGATGTTCGGTAGTTAGACGATGTACAGTTTCGCAAACCTTTTTCATAGCATCTTTCAACACTTGCACTTGACCTGGTGTTAACTCGTGATCAGGTGGTGCTGAGAAAAAAAATCAGTTATTAATTGTCTGTACGTGACAATAATCGTATGCGCAATAAAGATATATTTATCTCCTTTTCACCGATTTAGAACATTTATAAAAATGCTCCGAAAAAATTGTGGAGAGTAAACAGATCTAATAATGAACAGAAAATACCTTGATCGACAAAAAATTTCGCGTATATATTTACTCTCTATTGCGAAAGAGGTTAGAATCGGAACAAAAAGAAACATCTCAAATACATTTTAGGTTAACATTCATCGATGCATCAGAGGAACAGTTGCAACGCTCGAATACGCTATTTACAATTTTCTGGACTCTCTCATATTCTGTTCAAACGCATCACTGATATCGGAACAGTCAAGAATTTATTTTTTTGCTCGACAAATTGTCAACGAAATGTAACATTCAAGCAAGATGAATCGTATAGTTTACCTTCTGCAAATTCTTTCTTCAAAGATTCAATATGATTTATCAGATCTTGCAATACCGTCTCTGCATGTTCGTTTACTACTCCAAATTTCAATAAAATTTTGTCAACTTCACGTTCAACGGCATTACACGCCTCCATTATTGTTTTTCTTGGTGATACCGCGTCACTACTTGTCACTTTTACTTTATGTACAAGTCACGCATACGCACACGTGTATGCTTGTGATATGTATACATTGAAGTACTGACACCAATTGCAAATACGGTTTTCACGCGCGCATATGTACGAACATGTTCCAACACTGATACGTGGAACAAGTAAACATAACAGTATAACCTACCTCATGCATTGTACAGCATACACATATGTGTTTGCTACACGCGTGTATCATGCGCGCGCGCACGCGTGTATTACGTTACAATGAATGCGCACCGCTTCTGTATTGATCTTTAAACATTACCGATTTCGCTCAACTATCGAATATTATTACAGTAAAATTCGTGAGTCGAAGCATAGGACATGAGTAGGGGATAAAATTAGAAAGACGAATGCATATGTTGTAAAATAATGTTCACTGTACGAGTTGAAGTTAATCATGAGTTATTTTTATTATTATTATCATTATTATTATTGTTGATGCACAGTTATTATTGTGACACCATTTTATAATTATACATACCTTTTTTAATTTGGTATCAAATCAAAGTAATACTTTACATTCAAACTATACAATTGTGGCGCAAATAACTTTTGCTGTATCGGAATACTAACAGTCGAACAAAATGTTTAATGTACATAAATACAAAAGTATTTGATTTGCACTATAATATAGATTTATCTAAGAATTCATAGAACATTTTGAAGATGTTCAAAATATATTTACAAGAAGTATACAAATATTCTCTGGAATGAGCACTCTTGCTTCTATTCAAATTGAATGTGACTCTGAAACAGATACATTTTTTACAAGAATAGAACGTGATAATTTACGTGGCTAATAACATTCAATAATAAGACTGTAAATTAGCGAAATACTTACCCATTCCCGAGCCATCATAAGAATAGTAGAATTAGATAATTTTGGTCCAATCAGTGGGTTCATTTGTGCCATGTAACAACACAACCAACTACAAAAGTATTAAATTGTAAAATTCGTACAGATATGAATTTACAAAAACGATTTTATTTAGCTGTGACTTACAATAACCAACATGTGAAAGCTGTCAACATGAGCATAACCTGGAGTATTCTGTAATGAAAATTATAACCAATAAAACAATGTTAATTATATTAGAATAGAGTAGAGTCAAGAGTAACAAACTCGATAATGTTAATTTTTCATTGTATTATTTTTTACATTCTAAATAGTAATAGTCGAAAAGTGAGAATCTTGACAATAAATTTACAACAAATTAAACTTACCCACGATTGGCACTTTTCGGAACGAAAAAGGGTAAAACGATTCCTACAATTCCCCAAAGGACCGTAAACAATAACATTGGCAATACAGCAGCACCCATTTTTTCTTAAAATTAAACAATTTCTTCTTGCTTTTAAAAGTAGGCTGGGCCAGCGGATAGTCAATTTACTGACACAAACAGATCACGTGAAGCGCTCAGTTCACTCCGATGAATCGAAGTGACGTACGATATCTCGAACTAAAGATTGCGAGATGGAGCATGCGTCTATGCATTTTCGAATGTACTAATTATTCGAATGACGAATAATAAATTAGGTCTGTTTGATTAGGCGCTCCGCGCCTGACTTTCTGAGCACAATTTATGAGCTTTTATGATTAAAGAATGGTCAGCAATGCATTATTTACATGGTTCGGTCGTAAAAGTTCATAAATAATGTTCGGGTAATGAGTAATTAATTATTTTGTGTCAGCATTGCGATACGTACATGAGCCGCCTATGTCAATTCTACTGCACATGCAAAGTGCAATATTTCGGCACTTTGACGACGTAGTATGGTTCCTGAGGCATTTAGAAACAAATTTCTATTAGGGTTTGATGCGTTTTGATGCCTAATAAAGCCAGAAAATCAATTTTTGTCGAATTCGGTCGAAAACGGTACAGGTGGCGCCATTTAACGGCGAGCGGCGAAACTACGAAAAACTAAAATTTCTATTTTCTCGAAAACTGGGGACTTTTCCGAAATTCTGAGATATACAAATTGCTCCTTGTGGCCTAAGGAATCGAACGAATATAATTATGACCTGCTAGGACCATTATTAAAGAAAATAAGAAAAATGTCATTTTGTGGAGAAAATTTGTGGCGCCATCTAGCGGCGAAACTGCGAACTAAACTGAAAAAACGTATGCTCGAACAGGCAGTAAAGGGGTCAAATAAAAATTGATTTTCTGGTTTTAATAGGCAAAAAAATGAATAACTTATTCAACAAAAATTGTTTCAAAATGTCTAAAGCAGCATACTACGTCGTCAAAGTTGCGAAATATTACTTTTTATGTTTTTCTTTAACAAATCAATTTTTGTCGAATTCGGTCGAAAACGGTACAGGTGGCGCCATTTAACGGCGAGCGGCGAAACTACGAAAAACTAAAATTTCTATTTTCTCGAAAACTGGAAAATCTGGATTTTCTCGAAAAGTAGGGACTTTTCCGAAATTCTGAGATATACAAATTGCTCCTTGTGGCCTAAGGAATCGAACGAATATAATTATGACCTGCTAGGACCATTATTAAAGAAAATAAGAAAAATGTCATTTTGTGGAGAAAATTTGTGGCGCCATCTAGCGGCGAAACTGCGAACTAAACTGAAAAAACGTATGCTCGAACAGGCAGTAAAGGGGTCAAATAAAAATTGATTTTCTGGTTTTAATAGGCAAAAAAATGAATAACTTATTCAACAAAAATTGTTTCAAAATGTCTAAAGCAGCATACTACGTCGTCAAAGTTGCGAAATATTACTTTTTATGTTTTTCTTTAACGCGTGTTCGGACATACGTTTTTTCAGTTTAGTTCGCAGTTTCGCCGCTAGATGGCACCACAAATTTTCTCCATAAATGACATTTTTTTTATTTTCTTTAATAATAGTCCTAGCAGGCTATAATTATATTCGTTCGATTCCTTAGGCCACAAGGAACAATTTGTATATCTCAGAATTTCGGAAAAGTCCCTAGTTTTCGAGAAAATCGAGATTCTCTATTTCTGTAGTTCCAACTTTCGCCGCTAGATGGACGGCAATTTTTTAGTCCATGAAATGGGCTATTTTTCTATTTTCTTTAATAATGGTCCTAGTAGGCTATAATTATATTTGTTCGATTCCTTAGGCCACAAGGAGCAATTTGTATATCTCAGAATTTCGAAAAAGTGCCTAGTTTTCGAGAAAATAAAAATTTTAGTTTTTCGTAGTTCCGCCGCTCGCCGCTAGATGGCGCCACCTGCACCGTTTTCGACCGAATTCGACAAAAATTGATTTTCTGGCTTTATTAGGCATCAAAACGCATCAAACCCTAATAGAAATTTGTTTCTAAATGCCTCAGGAACCATACTACGTCGTCAAAGTGCCGAAATATTTATTTTTTTATTTTCCTTAAATGTGTGTTCGGACCCTCACTTTTTAGGATCAGTTTTTTCAGTGATTATTCGTCCGTGGACGGTCCGATTAAAATTTTTTTTTTCTATGTCCATCTGGATGTACATACGCATGTGCATGCAAAATTTGACGAGAATTGGTTGAGTGGTTCAAAAGAAAAACGCGGACAAAAAAGTTGCAAAGTCAAGTATAAGAGCTTCGCTCGCTCGCTCAATAATTGAAAACAAATTTTAATGTAGAAACATTTATTTATGAAAATTTTACAAATCTTAAGATTAACGGGAAAAGTAACGTCTGGATAAGTATAAAATTTTGTATTTATTAGGAACGACATTAAGGCACCGTGTCCATAAGTAACAGAAACTTGTACATGTATAATCCAGGACATCACAACGTCCTCAAAGAACATATTTTCACTGATATAATTTTTTGGCGTTGTACATTTAATCTCCAAACAGTCGTTTCTGTGTTATCTTGACGCTATCGTTTAACCTCTGAGCATCGGTATACGGTTTCGATTGATCGACGATCGACGGGCCGTCTCCACCGCCGATCGAAGAACATTCGTTCACTTTACGAGTAATTATCCCGGATTGGGATCCGATGCATTCTACCAACGACTCAGTCAAATTTGTAACTGACTTTTGATCCGATGTACTGGCTGCTGTGTCGCGTTGTGTCTCGTCAACGCGATGAGACTTCGACTCGATTGTGCTCAAAGTCGTACAAGAACTTATGAATTTCTCTAAAACATCTAAAAATATTTCTTGTCGAACATTAATCATTAACGACAGAAGAAAACGCAATATCACCCGTTACCTGTCAGATTCAGGCTTTCTTCGGACAAATAAATATCATCGTGCAAACTAATACTGTCTCTGCTGAAAAGATGTTGTCGGATGGTAGTCAAATTTCTCAATTTCAACGACCTGTCCATCGTTGATCGATCAACAGGGTCATTCTTACACGGAGTTTTATACATGATTGAACGTTCGGTGCGCATTTCGCGTCCCTTCTTGATGTACGGAATCAGGCACGATAAGTTTAATTGTGTTCTAGAAACGCTGTTTGCAGTTTGTATAGACAATGGAGATTTGTAACTGCTCACTAAAAGTATTAGACGATAAAGAGCGTAAATTTCAGGTTAACAGAAAATAATATTAATACCTGTATAAGGTGTTCTTATGTAAGTCAAGGATTTCCGTTGATGATTGTCCAATGATTTGATCGTCGACGCCAATCTATTGCTTATATCTGTCACGAGCAAACGTAAAATAATATCAAGAACCATGAACTATGCAGGTAGTAAATAGTACAAAGCAAATATGACCATACCATGAATAGTATCACCCTGTCCTTTTCCGTTCTTTCCATAACTTGTATTCATTAACGTTGTGTTATTCATAATAGCAACTAAAGCAGGGTGCAACCGTCTCACCACGTTCACTATTAGTTCGCATCGTTTTATTACACGCAATTGTTGAGGTTCCGTTGCATTTTCCGTCAACAAAGCTTTTGATGCGGCATCAGCCTCAAATATTGCTTAGAAACAAAACCGATTATCTTTTATGAAAAAAACAATAAATCCGTAAATATAGATACTTACCAGCCTTTAACTCTCTAATCATCATAATCGTTTGCCTTTCTATTGTGTCGCTTCCAATGTCGTTTATAGTGGCGCTAATCTGTCGAGATAGGGACAAAGATCTAAGCACAATGGTTTGGACTTGCGTTTGAGTGACGGGTTCTCTATTATCGAGGCAATTCGACATTATCGAAACACGGTCTTGAAGATCATCTAAAACTACCTGAATAACGAATCAATTATTTAATTATATTCTGTACGAGCTAATGGTACACACAAATATGTTAACAGTCTACCTGACAATATGCCGCTGAATCCATGATCAAATTTATGGCATCTTGTAACTTGTTCACTTCTAACTGCCACTGCGTGGTCAGCAACTTCACGTTTGCACGCATTTCTTTACTTTCTGGGCGCAGATAAAACGTAGTGATGGCAGAAATTAATTCAGTTTCTAAAGATTCAAGACTTGCTAAACTATTTCGGATCTGACTGATTCCTGGAACCATAAATAAAATCGACGTTAAGGAAACAAGTTCGATTCTGTATCAACTACTACGAGAAAGATCGACCCACGATTTCTGTCTTTGCAAGAAGCAATAGCAAACAATCCAATCTGCATCGATTTGTCTATGATCTGATCAAAATCTTCTATGGCATTAGTCAAATCGTTCTTGGACCGCTGCTTGGCGTTCAATGAATTACCGCATATTGTAACGAGTTTTCTTAATGCATTAAAAGGATCGCTAAAGACCTCCATCACAAGATTCAGTACCGATACATTGATTTTACGTTCCAATCGATACAGCGCGTCGCTTAAACTGTTTATGAACAGGTTATTCAACGCTGTATCAGAAGATTCGGAGGTTAATTGGAACTTCAAATTCTCGTATTCTGATATGATGGACTGGCAGGTTCCAGTTATTGCTTTAAAGTTACAAGGTTTGCAGACTTGGGCGATCGCCATCGCGGACGAGAATACGTCTTCTATTCGGCACCACAACTCTTCGCATTCCGATATTTGATCTTGTTTCGATATATTCGGCATTTCCGATAAAATATCCAATACCAAATCCATCCTGAAACAAACAGGAATAAATGATAGAAATGTTAGTTGATTGTTGCTTTTTTAGCAATTAAAGTTTCGATGTGATGTATTACCGATAAACAAAGTGATTTTCTCTCTCGGATATTTCATCCTCGGGTAATGGATCTGGTATATCCAGTATCTCCATTAGCATTTTTAAGCAAAAACACAGTCTTTCGCAAACATATTTCTTGCAATTCTATGCGAATAAAAGCGTAAAGATCCGATTAGAGAAAATTCGTGTACACTTTTAAAATGTAGAGGTCATAAAATATTCTATTACATAGATTGGCACGTTTAACCGATGTTGTTCTTGCACTAATTGTACTAACAGTTTGAATACTGTACATAATTGAGATAAATATAAAATGATCTTCTCTGCAAGTAAACAAGATGCCAAGTTCTTACGATATATCTGTAATGGCCCAAGCAATTCCAAAATCGACGTGCCCAATTCCTGCAATAACAATCAAGTTAAAGCATTTTCAAATCAATAAATGTGATTGAAATAGTGCATCCTATATACTTTGATATTTTGAAAGTGTTCAATTTCATTCGCTTGACCCATTTCGCTAACATAATCCAAGCAATCCATTAATCTTTGTTTCAGAGGCAAACATCCTAATTTCTCTAGAGCTTCAAGTGTTGATTTAAATTTGTCAAGTACAGTGGACAAAGTTTGTTCTGCTACTTGTTTATCAACACTCTCAATCTGTAAAAAGGCTGTGAGATGAAAATACAAAGAGAAAACTAATCTACATTTTGAAATAGTGTACCGATTCATTTATGTATTCCAATGAAGAAAATTCCTCTAGAATGGTAGTAATTCTTGACTCCATTTCCTCGTAATCATTAATCTCCTCCTTTGATAGAGCATCAAACTTCTCTCCTAAGCATCTTAATTGTTCAAAAAGAGCAGGTTTCGTTGGTGCTGCATCATTCGCGCAGTAAGAACTGCAGCTTATCAGTTCCCGCAATTTATTTATCTAAATGAAATATATATAAATATACATAACCAAGTAACATTTCAAAATCATACGGTTTCTACATTCGTCTTACTTTTTCTTCTATGGGTCCTAATATTCTCTTTACTTCCTTCGTTTTTACAGGCATTTTTTCCCCTTTTGTTTTTTGTACAATCAGCGATGCAATCAGCCTCGCAACATTTGATTGTTTGTAAACAAAATGAAAACAGTTACAAGTTGACTTTTAATTCTCCATCGTAACAATGAACGCTGCCATCTATTGATTTTCAATGACGTTACGAGTGGCTTTACCATATTTCATCAATGAAAAAATTGTCGGTGATATAGGGAATGACATGAGAATGGCAAAAAATTTTCTTTCGCGTCGCCAGAAACCATTTTCACGAACTTATTTGCAAAATTTATTATTTACACACTTAAATACGTACAAAATATGAGACAGAATTATTCTTTTATCGACGGTCGAATATGTCGTCTACGATTCGTGTTATCTTCTGGGTGATATACATAATTAATTTTCGCTATGGTTCGAGAAAGAAGATAGTTTGTGAAAAATTATATCACCACTTTTGTACGCGTTGTACGCATAGAATATCGTGAACAGTATTAACCTTATTATACGAAGATCAATAATTTTTTAGCTGATTGCATGTATTTAGGACTAGTCAGAAGATTCAGTACGTTGATTCTATCAAGAAATATTGATCCCCTGCATGCTGTTATAATTCTTACGGAATTAAGCGGTAACTATATTATCTGATAAAATTTATTTGGTTATCGTTTACTTGTGCTTTTATGGTGTCTTTTTATCGTTATAAGTGTTGACCGAATAAACCTGTGTGCTGATATTTAATAATTATACGTAGAAATGGATTAACAGTGCCGAGTAGAAAGTTTGGTTATGCAATTTGTCGACTTCTTTGAACGTATAGTTATTTATTCGTAATTATTTGTCATGACGAGTCATTGAGATCAAACTAATCTCCTGGTATTAAAGTCTACGCGATTTTCTTTCATGCATATCTAAGATTTTAATGTATTTTACAATTCCACATTTGTGCATACATATATACATATATATAGGGTGAGTCAGTATTGGAATGTGACTGTACTATTTTGTCCTTGCTTTTCTATAGTTTCCACAGTTTTAAAGATCTTCTGGATAATAGTATTTACCGATTCATCTTGTGAATAAAAATATATTTTCGCATTAAAATATATTTATCTTTACAGAATGTTAACTTATTATTTTTTTTTTCAGATCAAAAGGTACAGATTGAATGAAGCAATTTTATATGTATGAATAGTTTTATATTTAACGAGGAAAGTTTGTGCCTCACAGTAACTTTGTTGCTCCTTAGACCAAACTATATTGGGCAGAAACATGGTTAAGCATTATGAGGACAGTGTGATTTTCCAATTTAATTGGAATCAAGTTGCACAAGCATTTTGGCAGAGGTATCCAAATCCTAACAGGTAAGCTGCGAACAAGATAATAATCATAGTAATGGTTTGCACAAAATAGTAAGGTTGAAATTCTTTTTTAAGTTCTCACGTATTAACTGAAGACACTATATCAAGGAGAGTTAGAAATGGAATTCTATATACCACACGACTTCTAACAAAAACCAGCGGTGTGCCTAAATGGGGAGAGAGGTTTATAAAAAAAAATGTTGTAAAAATTGTTGAGGAGAGCACAGTAGATATGAAGACAAAGACTTTGACAACATATACGCGTAATTTGGGCTACACCACAGTTATGGTAATCTAATGTTAAATGACTTAAATCCATCATAAAAAAATATCCAGGAGTAGAAGCTTGATTTTATCGTAATTTTTTATTCGTAGAGTATCGTCGAGAAGGTTGTTTACAAAGTTTCTGACGATAATCCGAATTGGACGGTAGCAAAGAGGTCCGCGTGGATAGATAGCCAAGCATTCGGATTTAGTAGAGCGCTTCAAGCGTTTGGATTGGAAAGGTTTAAAAAGAATTGTAAGGTGATGTATGCTGGCTTTAACTACGTTTTAGCGCATATGTTTCCACACACAGCGCAACACATGAATCCGACGCTTGCTCAAATGGGATTCGCTTATCGTGTAAGCAGGATAACCCAATTTATACATCAAATACCTATCTAGTATTGTTTATTAATTTATTTATCGTTCGTCGTTTTAGCTCGATGAAACAGTTGGGGCAAAGACTAGTCTCGCGGAAGGTCTACAAACATCTTTGCAAGGCAAAGCGGAGAAAGTAAAAGATGTAGCGAAGAAAGCGAAAAATTTAGCAAAGGACAATGCTGGGTCGATGTATGCGGCATAAACGTTGTAAACGATGGTGTCTGCATGAAAACTGATAACAAATGTTTAGATAAATTGAAAATTGTAAGTCGTGAAAGAATAATTTATAGACGCGAGATCGATCGAGTGAAATCGATACGACAAAATCTTTAATAATTGTTGATTTCGTTAAGATTTGTTTGAAAATTTAAGTTAGGACCTATTCGATCGTCGTTAACGACGGCCGTATGAAATCGTTGGATAAATCGATTGGTGGCAATAGCTTCCGTTTCGTTGTACACGTTGTCATTCCTTTGAACTGCCAATCTATTTTTAATCAGTGCCTAAGACTCGTTTAATAACTTATTAAATCATATTGCGGTACATTATCGCGCATAATACAGCATAAAGTTTAAACCGGAAAATATTTCGTTGTATTTGAATATTTCAAATTTACGTTTTTCCTTACTTGTGTTTACTTGAATAAATGTGACAAAAAATGAATGATTATATATATATATATGTATATGTATATATTTATACTGCTTCTAAGAATGTCCAAATGTAAGATAAAACATTGCTCGTAAATTGGAATCGATTTATTTTGAAACAATTAATGTATTTTCGTCAAACGAATAAGAATGTAAGAAAGAAAATAAACATGTTCCGATTGATAGGTGCGTCACGCAACGTATTATACATCACAGGCACACATACGTGCACGTAATTCCAGTTTCGCTCGAAATATTTTATACCGACGTTGGATACCCTTGGTATTTCACCGTGACTAATTAGCGTTACGTGTATATCTGTACGTTATTTGCACAAAAGATCTTGTATGTGACGTGCATAAAAGGACATTTTTCCTATTTCCACGATTACATATGTAATATAGCAATTTGTATAAATGTAGATAGAAAGAGCGTAGGGAGATTGCGTCGAAACAAATTGTAATATAGTGTTCACTTTTAACCGGTGTTGTTGCAAGAGTTACGCGAACAGAGATGTACTAGTATGTACATAGTAATAAACGCTCATAAACAAAACAGATTGTACTTCCTTTATGCGATTCCATCCATTTTTTTCGACTTTTGACGTAACAAGATCTACGAAGATTCTGCATGAGATACGTATAATATACACGACAACCTTGATTCATCTCAAGGAAAGTGGGATTTCCAACATCAACAATATAACGCGCATGTTTCTGCACACTCGTTAAACAAGTTGCTTCTTTTTTTACGTTTTCTCGCAAAGAGAAGAAATACTCTTTCGCGCGTTTGGAGAAAGGATCGATCGAAAGTTCAACTCTAATTATATATATTTGTTCGCATTGTTTTGGAAGGTGGTAGAGATCCCGGGAAAATCCGACCGCGCTTTTTTATGCGGGGATTTTTAAGGTTGTTCACCGATTGATGCCACGTGATTGGTTGATCATGCGACGCGTTGCACGGTCGGTTCTTTTCGGAGCTTGCGTCAACTATAAAAGTAAACGCGGATAATTCTGCCAGACCAGTGGATGCTCGATCTTCACGAGTAAGGGATAAAGCGGAACACAATGTGGCTATTTTACGTAATTCTTGGTGAGTACCTAAGTCGCAAAGAAAATACATCCTGAACAAAGTTGAAATTACAATTTTCTGATCGCAGTTGCCGCGTCCAGCGGATCGTTGGTCGTCTTCGCACAGGTAAGTCAACAACACACACCAAGTTAAACTCGATAATTGATGAGCAATGTTTGATCGCACAAAGGATGACCAGCTCCCATCTGCGCGTCCAATGGACAACGCTTTCGTAGTGGACGGATTCGTTTTCGACGGACCAGCGTCAAGGCCAACAAACACACCTTCTGCGCCAACAGGAGGCACAACAGGAAGATCAACTTCGACGACAACCTCGACGACAGCTTCTCCAGTGTCGGATGCTGAATTCGACGCTTGCGTTGCAGCCTGTCCGGTGAGTTATCTATCGAGTTCAAAGTTCCCACTTCTCGAAACATTTAAACGCTTACGTTGCACTTAAACTATGCAAATGTTGAAGAGAAACAATAATTTTCAGGCGACGCCGGAATACAATCCCGTTTGCGGATCGGACAACGGGGACTACGATAATCCGGGACGACTGAGTTGTGCGGCAGCGTGCGGCCAGAGAGGTACGACGCAAAAATTGATTAATTCTGTTGTTTCCTTATTCTCCAACGATTAATTCTTGAAACGGGTTCTTGCAGACATCACCGTGAAGTATTACGGGCGCTGCATGACCGACAAGATCAGAGGATAACTTCTGGACAAATAGGACGCGTTCGATCAACTTAGTTCGCATAATTTCGAACGAAAAGACTGTATTAGTGTTTAATTAAAAGAAGTTATTATTTTTATCAGTTTCATTAGTCTTGTTCGTGGAAAATTCCAAGAGGAAACTATCGTTTTCCTTCGTTTAGCCGAGAGACGAGGAGGAAGCACGATGGTCAGCCCATCGGACTCTTCGCGCTATTTCGAAATTTCCCCCGTGGATGCCGTACAGGTGTCTAGCCAGCACGTTGGCTCTGTCCTCCTCCGCTCGCACGGCCATTCGTCTGTATCGCGCGACGGTCAAGAGACAGCCGACGATTAACGCGATCTGAACAATCAGCCAGAATATCAACAGGCCCAGAGCGAGACTGGCGTCCACGCAAAGAAGTCCGTTCACAGAGTCTAGAAATAGATGAGGGATTATATCACGAAAGCATCGAGTTAGGTCGATTCGTAAAGGAATTTACTTCCTGCGGTGATCAACACGGTGTCGGGTGACGCGTTCGTTCTCGTCGACAACAAGCGATCCGGCGAAGACGCGAAACGATGCTGCACGATGATGGAGAGTTGCAGCGGCAGCTCTTCGGGAGCTTCCAGAGATTCTCGTTTTCTCCTACCGTAGGAAAGTAGGTCGCCTTTGCAGCGAGTCTGAAACGTGCAGCGATGAGCTAACGTGTCACAGAACAGAGAGAGGAACAGCGAGGTAACTGACCGGCGTGCACTTATCTAAACAGAATCGAACGATCACGTTGAACCTAACCAGTTGACTGTCGGGGAATTTGAAGGCGCCGAAGGTTAAGATCAAGGAGCGACCGTCGCTCGGATCTTTCGACAGGGCCGGAAAAGTGGCGGGATCGGTCGGACAACCGAGTTCGTCCAGCAGCAAGAGAGAAGCATCGCCGGAAGCGCTGCTCGCCACGAGGTGTCCGGCTTCGATGTCATAAATACCTTCGAAAGGGGAATCCGAGATTATTCGAAATGGAAGGTCGCGCGCGTTACGTGATCTTTACCGTTCGGTGGATTCAATTGAATCTTCAGGGTCAGTTTCTGCCCCAAGTGCGTGACGACCGCGTCCCGCATGTTCTCGTCCAAGATCCTCATGGTCACCAAGGGTGCTCTGGACGAGGCGTTGACGACGGTGGAGGAAACGGGCGGCACTCCTGCGCTAAACACACGGAATTGGAGCGGATGGTAGTCGACTAAAGCACGCGAGAACGGATGCTCACTTCGGATCGAGGAAGCTGAAGCTCGAGTGGACGGTGACGTTCCGGGGAGCTTGAGGTTCGTTGTCGTTCAGCGAGCATCCAACCTTGACCGCTTGATCTCCGAGACGTTGGACGATCGGATTAAACTGCACTACGATCGTCGTCCAGACCAGAGGCCGTGTCCTGCTCCAACGCGTCTTTTACTCTTTGGTCGTTTGTCGCGCGGGTAGTTAAGACTTTCTTTTACCGATTTTGAGCGTCGACGGAAAAAGCGAGATTCAGACCGCACTCGAACCCGTTGTCGTCGCGTAGATGGTCCGTGGCTGGGACCGGCAACGTCAACAGCGTCCGATTTCCTCCTCTGCCTTGAACTCCGCACTCCTCCGCGTACCCAGTCGCGTACACTCGACCGAAGAACGGATCGTTGGTCCTCAGCTCGATCGTCATGACCGATTGGTCGCATCGCACCCTCACTGAAAGATCAAACGCTTTCCTACGGTTTCGCGGCGATCTCGATCCCGATACTTACGATCCAAACACGGTTCACGTTCCCTGTAGATCGCGCTCGGTGCAGTGATCAGCGAACTGACTCCCAGGCTGTTGGTGTCCTCCGAGTGCAGTAGACAGGTCAACTCTCCGGAAGAGTCGTCCACGGTGTACCCTCGACAGACGAAGCCGTCCATGCTCAGCTCGCATCTTCGTTGGCACTGCGATCAATCGAATGGTCAATCGCCGATCATCTTAGAGAGAGAATAGAGTCGACGTCTACCTTTTACCTGTTTCTCGTCGAGATTAGTCAGCGCGACGTCCGAGTAGGGCAACGTGGCGTTTCGAAATTCCGCGTAGGAGCAATATTCTTGTGCCGCTGCAATCGTGATAAGTTTCGATAACACGTGTGATAAGTTTCCAGAGTTAGGAGTGCTTACACAGGTTTCGACACTGGTCCCAAAGGTACTCGTCCCTGTACATAGACGCTCTGTACGCTCGCGGTTTAGATCCTCGTTCGAGCAGCGACAACGAACACTGTCCCATCGCGTCGTCGGTCGACAGCGGCTTCGTCGTCCGGAATTGCGCCGACTGGCAGCTCCTTCCTGCGAGCGATTCGCTCTGAATGCACTTTAAACTTTGAACGTTTCGGAGATCGCGAGCTTACCTGACCGAATGCATGTTTCGTAACACCGGTTCCTGGAGACGGAATCGGGCAACCGGAAGGCCCCGGAATCGATCAACGAAACTGCACTACGATCGTCGTCCAGACCAGAGGCCGTGTCCTGCTCCAACGCGTCTTTTACTCTTTGGTCGTTTGTCGCGCGGGTAGTTAAGACTTTCTTTTACCGATTTTGAGCGTCGACGGAAAAAGCGAGATTCAGACCGCACTCGAACCCGTTGTCGTCGCGTAGATGGTCCGTGGCTGGGACCGGCAACGTCAACAGCGTCCGATTTCCTCCTCTGCCTTGAACTCCGCACTCCTCCGCGTACCCAGTCGCGTACACTCGACCGAAGAACGGATCGTTGGTCCTCAGCTCGATCGTCATGACCGATTGGTCGCATCGCACCCTCACTGAAAGATCAAACGCTTTCCTACGGTTTCGCGGCGATCTCGATCCCGATACTTACGATCCAAACACGGTTCACGTTCCCTGTAGATCGCGCTCGGTGCAGTGATCAGCGAACTGACTCCCAGGCTGTTGGTGTCCTCCGAGTGCAGTAGACAGGTCAACTCTCCGGAAGAGTCGTCCACGGTGTACCCTCGACAGACGAAGCCGTCCATGCTCAGCTCGCATCTTCGTTGGCACTGCGATCAATCGAATGGTCAATCGCCGATCATCTTAGAGAGAGAATAGAGTCGACGTCTACCTTTTACCTGTTTCTCGTCGAGATTAGTCAGCGCGACGTCCGAGTAGGGCAACGTGGCGTTTCGAAATTCCGCGTAGGAGCAATATTCTTGTGCCGCTGCAATCGTGATAAGTTTCGATAACACGTGTGATAAGTTTCCAGAGTTAGGAGTGCTTACACAGGTTTCGACACTGGTCCCAAAGGTACTCGTCCCTGTACATAGACGCTCTGTACGCTCGCGGTTTAGATCCTCGTTCGAGCAGCGACAACGAACACTGTCCCATCGCGTCGTCGGTCGACAGCGGCTTCGTCGTCCGGAATTGCGCCGACTGGCAGCTCCTTCCTGCGAGCGATTCGCTCTGAATGCACTTTAAACTTTGAACGTTTCGGAGATCGCGAGCTTACCTGACCGAATGCATGTTTCGTAACACCGGTTCCTGGAGACGGAATCGGGCAACCGGAAGGCCCCGGAATCGATCAACGCCGCCCCCGGGCTTCGCTCGACTTGCCAAAGTCTCTCCCGTTCGCAACTCCGTGGAACTAGTCGAAAGCAAACCCGTTTCGACGAATGGTTTTTCGAATGGTGGATGCGCTCTCACCTTTCACGCAGACCCGATGATAGAAGGTCGAGTTCGGTTCCGGTATCAATTCGTCGTCTTCCGTTCTCACGCTGTAACAAACGCTTCGGCCGAAATCCACCACGAACGCGGTGCAGTTCTGGCGATCGCACCTGAAACTCAAAATCTCGGTAACCAGCGAAATCTTGCCGATTTCCGATATTTTTATCCTACCTCTCGAAGCACGGTTTCGTTATCCCTTTCGAGTTTACGGCGTTGTACAGAATCGTGGAGGACTCTACGGAATCCGGCTTGACGCCACCGATTTTCTCCCAACCGGTGTCGGAACAGTTTTCGCGCGCTTCTGCAACGCGACGGTGGTTAAACTTCCGTCGATCATCGATCGAGTTTCGATGCTTACCCGTTTTCGGTAGGAAGCCGCAAATCGCGATCGTTACGATCAGTGTGAGCATCGCCGCGTTTCCGGTCGAGTATCGTGCCAAGGATACTCGCGATCGTTCGCTCGCGCGTCCTAGTTCGCGGCTGGTCGAACACCGGCTCTTACGTAACCGCGTTTTGCGCCTCGTTACGTCGTTGATTCAACGGAAACGAGCGTCGTCGGCTCACGAAAACCGAAGACGGAGAGTAGGCGTATTCGAGAGGAGACTTGAGGTGTTCCTTTCGATCGTTCTCCAAAAACAGAGCAACGCTATTGATCTTCGGATCGCGAGAACGTGAAACACGTTCGAGGATTCTTAGACTTTGAAATGAACAACGGCGCGACCAACAGTAAGATAGAAACGATGAAGGGTTCGCGGACGACGCGAGCAAAAAAATGGTGCTTGCGAGTTGCGATTTCGCGAGCAACTGACGCGTCGGGAAACGCGAACAAAAGTATGCGTGTACACCTGTACGCGTGAAAAACGAATAGCAACGAACGCGCGATGGCACAGGAATAATCGCGCGGTGGCGTAACCGGCATTGCACCGCGCGGAGCGGATTTCGTCGATTCTCAGCCGGCGAAGAGACGCGACGATAAAGCGTGTTCGAAACGCTCGCGATACGGGCGGCGGGCGCGGCCCGCGCTCGCGGAGCGTGACGCTCGTCGTCGCGATGCATCGACGCGTTTGTCCCGCCTCGACGAATATTTCCGGCCGGCCGAGCGTTGTCACCGAGCTGGCCAGTCTTCGATCGCAGTTTCGTTCTATTCGATTCGACGGATAAGCCGCCTAGCGTAAAACCGCGATAACGACACGAATAGATGAGCGCGATGACGCGATATTCTCCTCGTTGCTCGATTAGTAACGTCCTTCGACTTACGTAAGCACCGTTTTACGCTCGGAGGCGCGAGCACGCGCGTTTAAGGCCACGAAATTCGTTCAGCGATAAACGAAAGAAATGACGAAACGTCCTACGACGTTTTCGCGCAATCTGTTAGCTAATTGAGGGGTATCGTGCACCCGCATCCCTGTGAACACCGATTTCTCCGTTCGCTTTCTCCTCGTGGTCTCGTTCGTTCCAAACGGCGCAACGTTAGAGAAAAAGGGGCGATGAGAAACGATATCGCTGATCGGTGAAATTGCAAGGAATTCGATGTTCCAGGACTATTTATTTCGTTCCCTTTTCTAGTTTCGATTACATGCGAAATTACAGTCCTGATTAACTACGGGCGTCAATAGGCAGGGCTAACGACTCCCATGATCTCTGCCAGGCTGTAGAACGTGTCGAAGCCTTGTATTAAGCCCTTAACGGGTTCGGGGATGTTGCGCATCTTGGCGACTCGATCGAGAGTGCGACGCAACCAGGGGAGTCCCGTGGTGGTGAGAAAATGCCACATCAGTTTCATCCCTTTCTCGAGAAGACTAATGGCTCGGTCGCGGACGTAATCCCTCATCGCGTCGATGGTCTTCGGTAGATACGAGAAAAAATTCGGGAATATGCTTGACAGGAAGTGCAGAAGACCAACTGTTATGTTTATGGGCATCTGCAACGGAACGCGAATCAACCAATTCACGATGAATTCCACGGCTGAAGAGATCATTTGGGCTACAGTCTGAATCGGTTCCGTGATGCTGCGTCGGGGGCGACGCAACGCCAAAGCGTTGCCTTCGTCGATGTTTAGACGATCATCTGAAAAGGAGTTTGCCGATGAGGATACGACGGCGATTCGTGAACGTGGCACGTACCTTGTTTCTTCGAGTAGCCGGAACAGAAAGCGAACCAGAGGAACAGCACCAGCAGAATCACGAAGGCTCGCATCGTGGATATTCGATGATTTTTCGGTCACGGTTGTTCCGTACGAGTGGTTGATAATAAAAGCGAGCCTTTCGCCAATTTTCCTACCGTTCGCGCAACGGTTATCGGTGCAAATTCGAGACATCGCGGTGTCGTCAGTTTTTCCTTTCAGCTCGCTAGTTTCCTTATCGCGAAGGCTTCGTCTTCGATTACGCGAATGGAAAAACGAAACGCGAAATCTAAATTACAGGTTTTTAGCTAGTTAGCTCGGAACGTAGAAAGGGGAGACAGATAGCGAGTAATCGCGACTCACGAAATGTAAATTATTCAAACGTATCGGAGTTTTCTTTTCGCCGAGAGCACGCGACCGAGGGGAAGCGAGGAGTAGTCGGGAAAGAAAATTGGTGTTTGCCGAGCTGGGTAAACGCGACGAGATCGAAGACGAAGAATAAAAGATCTCCGTATTTGGAAGTGAAGCGATCCTAGCAATCGATCTCTTTTTTCAGCGTTTGTTGTGCTTCCGTCAGGCTGACTCGGACTAGGCAACTATCGTGCATTATCCGTTTTATCGGACTCATCGTCGCATCGTAATGCGATCAGCCAACACTTCGTAACGACCAGGAAAATTCGATTGAGGTCCGGAACAATTAACTGCGAAGCAGTCGCCGCCAAACGCCATGTTGCAACGGCAGCTGTTCGTAGCGACGCTGTCGCTCGGGTTGCTGTTATCGACTGTTACCGGTCAACCGATCGCTTCAGCCGAGACCATTCTGATACGACCGATCGCTGTCTATCAGAGTCTGATCAAAGGTATCCACGATTATTTCAACAATACCTGCGTGATACTCCTTCGCGGTTCGTCGAAGCCGATGGAAGAAGAAGGTGAGAAGAAGAATTCGATTTGCCTCGAATACTCGAACATCGGAAGCGGTTATCGTTCTCGTTTCGCGGTTATCGTTTCAGAAATGGAACAAGTGGAGGGACTGCTGGCGCTGCAAAGGTATTTCAGCGGTTCGCTGAACATACGCACCAGCATCATGGATTTTCGCATGTTTAAAGATCGAGTAGGTCCGAAAGCTAGCGACGATAAATTATCCCTCCTTCGCTTCTCGATCGTTCGTTTCAGGTAGGGAAATCTTATCACCGCTTGAAGAGGCCGTTGTTCGTGATACTGAACGATCTGGAGAACACGAAGGAACAGTTCGTTTCGGTAAATATTCGCGACAACGATTCGTAAAAATCAAACGTCGCTAACGGTTCGATCAAACAGGTTTCTCGATGGATCGCGATGGCCTATCCAACATGGTTGCTCTTCCTCAGCGACGAGAGCAATTACGAGGACGTTCTATCAGAAATTTACGTGCCGTTCGATTGCCTGATGGCGGTCACACAGAGGAACACCGAGGGAACCGGCGAGATCCTTCGCGAAGTGTACAACATCCAAAAGGGAGATCGGCTGAGATCGTCGAATTTCGGTACGTGGAACGCTACTGGAGGATTTCATGGTCCTCGTTACGGATTGTTCGAACGTCGGCATGATCTGGACGGCTACAGCATGAGGGTGGTTGTCATTCAAGTGAGTGCCGATTCTGCCCGACTGTCAAAACCTATCTATCGCTCTGGTTTTCCCTTTTCACAGAATCTTCCGGTTTCGCAAATCATCCGGGACAATGTGACCAATCAACCGATAGGCATCGAGGGCTTGTTCGGCGAGATACTTCAGCTGTTGCAAGCAAGAATGAATTGCACGTCAGTATCGGTAACGAGAGAGGAGATAATGCGCGAGGTGCGAGAGATACTTTTCGGGATCGGAGTCCGATCTGCGCCTTGGGTCGGAATCGGGAGCGCTGCCCGCAGCTTGATCGCCTCTCCTTCTCTTAGCGTCCTCATCGGTCTCTTGCTCGGCTTTCCGTTTCTTCAGACTGTCCCGCAACTCCTTCAGTTGCCTGCTCGTTTCCTTCCGAAAGTATTCCTCTTGATTGGCAGCCGATCGTTCTTCGAACGCGTCCCTCTTCCGGCCATCACCGCTTCTTCGACGTCGTTCATAGGGTCGGCGGGACACGTGGTTCACTAATAACTTTGCTCGTCCATGGCTGTCGTTCGCGAACCGTTTATTCGAACCAGAGAGAAGAGAAGGCGGTTTTGTACTTACGACGATCGTCCTCTGGGGCTAACGGGTTCCAGACATCGCGAAGCGAGTCCGCGCAACATGCTCCCGGTGACCTGCGTTCCCTCGGTGTCCCGTAGCGGTTAGGAGGATAACGGACTGTCGATCCTATCGAATCGACGATCGCGAGAATCGCGGACAATTTCGCGAGACGAACACGAATAAACGAACCGGTTTTTTCAGGTACATTTTCCAGGAGGCTGAGTCATGGGGAGTGCGATTGCCGAACGGCACGTGGTCCGGTGCGATCAAGATGCTGCTGGGGAACAAGGCGGACCTGGCAGCCGACGGATTCACGATGACGACGAACAGACTGAACGCGATCGAGTTCACCACGCCCGTCTACACGACCAAGTAAGCTAGCGACGCGATAGTTTAAAACCTCTTCTCCCGACGCGTTATCGTAGGAGCCGAGTGTTCATCAAGAGACCCGACTCGACGACGGTCAAGTGGACCACGTATTTGGCGCCGTTCTCCTCCAACATTTGGAACGCGGTCGCATTGACGATTCTGCTCACTGCCTTCGCGATCCTCAGCATCGAGGGATTCTCCCCGAGAACTCCGGCCAGTCATCCCCAATTCGCGAACCGCTTCTCGGAGCTCGTTTTCCTGGTGTTCGGCGTGTTTTGCGGACAAGGTGAGACTAAACGAGCCAACGCTCCAGAACCAACTTAACGTGTATTTTATAGGCATGGAACCGTCCTCGTTGGACCCGATCAGACTGGTGCATCTGACCGTTCATCTAGCGGCGGTGGTGGTGATCGCCGCTTATTCGGCAGCTTTAATCAGTTTCCTCGCGATCCAGACGTTTGCGATGCCGTTCACCACGATGGAGGGTCTGCTGGAGGACGGGACGTACAGACTGGCCGTAATCGCGGACTCGGCCGGCTACAGTTTTTTCCAGGTACCGTTTCCCAGACTCTTTTCGATCTGATCTCACCAGCTTTCCACGCGATAGGATACCAGAGATCATACGATCAGCCTCATGTTCAAGAAACTGTTGAGCAAAGAGACCGATCTACCGACCAATTGTCTGGACGGTTTGAGACGCATTTGCAGCGAAACCAGATACGCGTTTATGACGATGGATAACATGGCCGCGGTTCTGAGAGGGAAAGTCGACTGCACGTTCGAACCTCTCGACTCGATAATGCAGGCTACCGTGGCCATGGCGGTTCCGGAACGGAGTCCGTATCGCGGCCTCATCAATACTAAGTGAGTCTCGATCGGTGGATCATTATACTTGCGCCGCTACTCTATGATCTTTGTTCCAGTATCTTAATTATGCGGGACTGTGGACTTCTTCAGCGACTGCTCCAGAGGGAATGGACGACGAACGAGTACAAGGTAATCGATCTTTCCAAAAGCAGTCGGTCAACAATATCGAATTTTTTCGTTTCAGGCGAAATCGGAGTGGTCCTCGGTCGAACTTCAAGACGCTACGCCGCTACTCGTTTTTTTGCTGTTGGCATTTATGGTCGCGGGTCTGGCGCTGCTGATAGAACGACTGGTCCGCCGCGACCGCGTGAAAATTCGCGGTGTCGTGGCGCTGCAACCGCCGGCGAAATAGCTAGCGACTCTATACGTCTGCCGGATGATCGAGCGCGGCGTTTACGTTTCGCCGACGTAAACAAACTCGCGAAAACACCGCTCGTTCGTCCGGGCGAGTGCGCAAACATACGACAGTTGCGCGCGTACCTCCGTAGCGTTCGTTAAAATCGCGGAATCGAGAAACGGTGGATCGCGCGATGGCGGATGCGAAGAGCAAGAAAGCGCGGTCCACCGCTAAACCGGCGCCGTCGGGGATTCCGTTACCGCGCGGGAAAGAAAACGCTCGACCTTCATTGAGCGCCGCCGAGAAAAGAGCGTCCTTCGCGAAGGAACCCGCTGGCAGAACTCGAGTCTCGATCGACTGCGCTACCGATCGCTCGGCTCAAACCAGTCGCGCGTTCGCTGACGTGACCAAGAAGGCTCCGTTCAAGATCCACTGTGACCAGAAGAATGTCCCGAGGGAAGAATCTCGAGAAGAATCGCGGCCGCGAAATCGCGCGACGAGCGAAGTCGCTGCCGAAGCGACGCGAAAGCGGTCGACGGTCGACAAGACCGACGACTCGCGGCTCGATAAAAACCTCCCGCGTTCCAAGATACCCCGTCGCTCCAGGTAAGCCTCGCGTTTCTATTTTTTTCGTACATTGAGACTCTTTTGATCCTAGGTCGTGTTCCGTGCCGACGGAGAGCGTTCTTTCCAAACGACCGACACTCGATCCAAGATCGAGATTGGTCGAAATCGACAGAACGGTTGTGACGTTGAAGAGGAAGCTCAGCGAGGAGACAAGCAGGTACCGACCCGTTCGATCGTTTCGAGGTGTCTCTTCTTTCTCTTCCCTCCTTTTTCTGTCTTAGCAGATGTCCGAACGAAAGAAACGAAACAAGAGCGAAGAAATGCGGAGAAACGTGTCCGACGCTGTGC